CCCCCACTTTCCCCCTCCAAAACCGGCGCCGAACCACCCCACTTCGCCCACGTCGCCGGAGCCCATTCCGAAGACCGTTGCCGGTCGATTCCGCCCTCCGCGGCCATGATCCCACCGCCCCGAGCCAATAAAAACGATCCCCGTGGTCTCCTCTCCCATTTCCCCAACTTTCCCGAGCTCCCGGCGCCCTCGCCCGCTCTCCCCTCGCCAAGCCGAGCAGCCGCCGCTCGCCGGAGTTCACCGGCCGCTTTTTCCCGCCGCCCCAGCCACCACCGCGCCGCGCCGTGTGTCCCGTCGGCTTCGCCTCGCCGTGCCGCGCCCCGGCCTCCACTCCTTTTCCCCCAAACCACCACCGAAATACCACCCCACCGTGAAAACCGAGCCGCCGCTCTTCCCTCCGTCTCCAGCCGCTCCCCGCCGGCGATACCGACCTCGCCCGGTCGTGCGGCTGCCTCCCACAGCGCCGCCGCTCCGTGCCGCATCCCGGCCACCGGCCCACTCCTCAAATCCACCCCCGAAGCACCATTCCCGCCGCAAACCCGAGCTACCGCCATTTCTACCACCTCTAGCCACCGATTGCCGTCGACGGGGACCATCCCGTGCCGCGCCGCTCAGTCATCTAGCTTTTGGGGTGGAGCAGCACCTCGGCCGCCACTTCCTCGGCTCTAAAACCCATCGGAACGCCATCTGCCCCGCGCGAGGTGAGCTCCATCGCCGTGCTTCTCGCCTCCGGCTGCCCTTCCTCGTGGTCCCCGGCCACCCCGCGCTCGCCTAACCCATCCATCACCTTCCTCAGGTCACGGCGCCCCTTGGCGTCGCCGGAGCGCCGCCACCCCCTCTCCGCCTGAGCTCCGCCGGCCGCTTTCCGTCGTCGTTTTGCCGTCGGGCGCTCGGTGAGCATCTCCCCTTCAACCCCTCACCTTCCTCCGCTGCCTCCCGGCTGTGCCGCCGCGCCGGTGGTCGCCGTCGGTGACCATCGGGCCGCACGCCACCGCTCCCCGGCTGGCCGGTGGGCCGGTTCCCGCTCGCCCGTGACCGCCCGATTCACCCCGGGTGGATTTGGGCCGTCCACGTGACCCTCCCCGTGCCGCCCGGCGTTGCTGCCCCTGTGGCGCCACGTCGGCGCCACCTCGTCCTCCCCGTCCGCCGTGGCCACCACGTGGCTACCACGTGGTGCGCCCACGGGCAGCGCGCGCGTGGACTGAGTCCACCGTGCGCCGACCTCCTTTGAGCCACCGACAGGTGGGGCCCGCTCGTCGGCGCCACCTATTCCCCTCGGTGACGTCATAAACCATTAATAATTGCGCAATAAATCATTAATGATTATAGAAATTCATTTAATGGCTCAAAACCTTCTAAAATTCATATCTAATTCATTCGAACTCCGAATTGAGCCGTTCAACTTGCAAAATTCATCTAAATTTGAGCTCTACATGTTTGTTTAGTTTTTATGTACTGTTTCCTTGGTTTTTATTAGAGTTTTTCCTCGTTTTGCGTGCCAGCGTGTAGTTTCCGTCGTTTCGGAAGTCCGCGGTCGCGAGGAAAAGAGTTCGGAAGATCAAAGTGAAGAAGCAAGGCAAGTCGCACATTCCCCCTTGAGCATGTTGATCCTAATTTATAAATGTTTTACCGTTTGCAAATAAATATGCATGTTTTGCTAATTACATGGGATCAGGGTTTACCTATCTGCTCGCTTGTGCCATGTTTACTTGATATCTGTCCTTTGTCAACCTTGGGTGATAAATCGACTAGCTTGTGTTACTTATGTGACCTAGCTAGAACTTTATGCTTAGCCATGCTTAATTACCACTAGCTCAGTCGATGGGATAATTGCAGTATTAGACATTCTAGTATCTTGTTGAGCCGCGTGCTCGAGACATCTGGCCATGTTTTATGGTCGTAATTATCCAACTAAAATGCGACTGAATGGTGGGCTGTGGGTGCATGGTTTTGTGAGTCGCACCCATGGCAATTAAGGACCGGTTCACGGGAAACCCTGGAAGACTTACAGCACTTGCCACAAGCGGGAGTGGGTAACTGCTTGATCTGAAGTATAGCTCGACCCTTTCCTAGGCACCGGTGGCGAGGGTGGGCGTGATGGAGTTGGGTCGGCCGGGGTGTCCGGTTGTCCAGCTGCCGGATTCACCGCGGCGCAAGAGGGGACCGCCCACTGCCTTTTGAGGGGTGGGGGTGAAACCTTAGCGTGGTGTGGATGGTTAGGGGAGGGTTATGCGAAGGGTCTCGTCACAATCACTCGACATGGTGACGTGTGCATCATGGGCACATGATGACGCGGTGACATGTCGGTGGGTTGTGTCTTGTGGGTACAGTTGTGCACCTCTGGCCAGAGTAAAACTATTCGAATAGCCGTTCCCGCGGTTATGGGCGATCGACCAGATTCACCGTGATTAGTCTCACACCTAATAAATCGACCCAATGCACTGTAGTCCAGGTGGGTTGGTTGGGCCTGTTCAACGTGGTGTAGCGTTGATCAGTGGAGATTTAATGTTACTTTAATTACTCAACAGTTTTACTGTTTGCTAAATAAAATGTTTTACAACCGCCTTTATGCAAATAGCCACAAACCCCTCCTTGTATCCCCTTGCACGTCCGCATCGTTGATGTGGCTTGCTGAGTACGGTGGTTGTACTCAGTCTTGCTATTATTCCCCCTTTTCAGAAGTGTAGTGCTTCTGAGCTGAAGACGAAGTTAGAAGACCAAGGCTCAGACCCCAGTTGAGTTTTGCCTGTGGAGTGGAGCTGAAGCCCCGCTAGGATCGCCTTTTTCCGCTGCTGCTGCTTTTGTTTCGGTGTGAGGACTAAGTGCCTCTTCTGTAAGTATTTTACGTTTTATTTACGTTTGGAACTGTTTATTACTTGTCGTTTTGTGTACCCTGGCTGGTCCTGGACAGGGATTTAATACACAAAATAGTCTGGAAATTTGGGCTAAATTTCTGGGCATGACATTCATTTTGTCCATCTTCCACAAAAATAAATACTCCATGTCATTTATGCCTGTTCCTCCAAAGTTCTTTAAAAAAACAGAGAGAGAAGCATGGCTATAAAAAAGAAAGAAAAAAAGTGCTCATACAAGTACGGAGCATGATGATGAGAAAAAAAAGAGGAAAATAAAAAAAATAGATAGCCATGCACTCTCCCAAATTTCAAAAGAGAATAAATGGAGGAGGTATACAAAAGGAGTTACTTTTATTTTCCGTTTTCCACCCACAAATTCACCATACACATACACATGCACATTCTTGACCAGAAAATATGTCTTGTATTTCCGTGGATCTATTATTTGACTTTGCGATATATGTGATGCAAGTAATGCTCTACTCTTTTCCATACCCTGAGCTCCACATAAGCCTTACTAGATGGTAGGAAAAGAAAAGGCACAATCATATGCCTTTGTGAGGAATCATACACCTTGAGTGATCGAGAGAATCAATGGTGGAGTAAAGAAAAGTTATAATTTTATGTTACATGAAAAACCCCAAGTTGTTCTTCATGAAAAGTTAGGGTGACTTAAGTCAAGATTGTTCCATTTCTCAATTGCTCAGGATTGCATGGTAAACACTACAAATATCCACAAGTACAGGTATGGCTTTGAATAATTTGTTTGCATGATTATTAGTAAGGAAGTCATAACTCTATTGTAGAGTCTATAGCCTTCACTCGGGACGAGCAAAGGTTAAGTGTGGGGGTGTTGTTGACGGTCCTTAAATCATAATATCTGACCGTCAATACTTGCATATAATGAAATAAAACATGGTATCCAACTTAGTGGTAGGTATTATTACTAATCATTTCCACCAGTGTTGGTGAAATATGTGTATGCACGTAATTTGAGGAGAAAACACATCCGTCATGCGACAAAATGCACCTCCGTGCATTCAGGACATGTTTACACGGATTGGAGGCCCCATAAGTCAAGTAAACACCTCGAAATGGGCCCATCTACTATGCCAATGGGCTGAGGGCCTCAAAATTAGTGTCCACGACAAAAAAGGGCCAAACGGAGTCCTCCCGGGATCGGCCGAACCATTTCTGAGGCCGTTGATCCCGAGATTCGACGTGGACGGCCCTGATTACTTCCTGATGGCGGTTGCGGGGTAGTTGGGTCATTTCCCATAGCAGCAACCGTCATTTGGAGCCTATATAAGGAGTAGTTCACTCTCATTTCCAACACACAACTTTGAGCTGAATTACAAGAGGCTCTATTGTATCTTTTGTACATTAGAATAAGGAAGAGAGTGAGGGAAGCTCTGGAGGAGTGTCTAGAAGTTTGGCGCTCATCCGACTTCTACCTCGATGAGTGTAGCTTCCTAAGAGGAATTCGGGTGGAGTACCTGGTTTCTTGGCCAACGGTGGCGATGGTCGGTCGCCTTGTCTTCTTTGTTGGTTTCTTGCCGAACAGAGGCGTCGGTCGCCTCGTCGTCTTCCTCAGGTTTCTTGGCTAATGGCTGCGAGGGAGATCGTTGTTTGCTCTTGTCAATGGTTGGATGCAGGCGGGCAGGGAGGAGATCGTGGAGGCGGCGGTGGGGCAGGTGAAGCCGTGAAGATGCTGGAGGACATGGTGGCCGTGCTGGAGGCGTAGTGGCGTACCTGGAGGTGCAGCCATGCAGGTTGGTGGCACCGCCGCCGCGGCCGCTGAGGTGTCCATGTCGTACCGGGAGACGAGGAGAGAGGAGGAAAAGAGGAGGGGTGAGAATGACATGCAGTACCCATGTGGGTCCCACCATCTTTAGTTTCTTTTAACTAACACATGGACTCCTAGTTTTTATTATTTTTCCGGATCGAATTGACACGTAAGCGCCACGTCAGATGAAGACTGAGTCAAATTAGCCACGTAGATGCCACGTCAACCAAAACCGCTATTAAAACCATCGAGGGACCTCGTTTGCCCGGTTTTCGTAGGTTGGGGGATGGGTAGTACCCAGTTTTGCTGTTCAGGGACTAAATAGAGAGACATAAAGTGAACTTATTCCATCTAGTGCCAGCCGCCGACTAAATACAGGCCCAACAACACCCATCTACTGACCTAAGGACTACAGACGGCCGACGCGGCGATGCCACCTGCAGCATAGCATTGCAGCGCCGCGCCGCGCCGCACCGCCGACGGTGGCTCGGCCTTGAGGCCCCTGCGTCCGGGACACCCGGCGAGCGTACTCCTGCGGTCTGCGTCTCTTCCCTGCCTCGGGCCTCCGCTTCCACCTGGCGGATCGTACTCGCATCGCATCCACGGCGCCGTCGGCGGCAAGCAGGTGAAGGTGACTCGGCTGGCTCGGCCTAGCGTTCTCTGACCTCGTCATCGACGAGCGCGGCCCTTGTTCACGGCGCCAACTGCCCAGCCCTCTCCACGGCGTCCGGTAAGCATTCCGAGATGAATCCCCTTGTCAATAGGAAAAATCCGGTGCCCATTTTCGTTTGACTTGAAACTGATGTCACTGTCTCAATTTTAGACCTTGAAATTTCAAATCTGGAGAAGAATAAAATGTAGACAGTAGATTTGAAGTCTTTCTGGGAATGATAAGGGATGTCACCGAAGGTAGCTTCCACCTTAAAAAAAAAAGAAGGAAAAACACCCAATCGAGAGTAAAACTCTAATTTTCTTCAATCTTTTTTTGCAATTCAATGAAACTACTTGAGATAGTATATCAGGATGAAATAATTGTACCTTATTTTCGGTACTATTTGTACTTTAAATCTTGTTACTGTCAATTTTTGCTTTTCATACGAAATTTATTTATTTTTAACTCTCCATATCTGGCTGCAAAATCCTGCGTTTTGCATATTCATGTTCACATGCTCATGATTATTTAAATACTCAGATACACTTTGATTGAAACAATATGCCATTAGTTAGCACACTAGCACGAGATGTCAATCAGTCTCACAAGTTTTCACCATGTAAACATTAGCTGTACTGGTAAATTTCTGAATTGTGACAATAGTATGCATGGCATCTATAAAGACTATGATTAGGCACTCTGAATCTTGATATGGAGCTAGGAAGACAACATATCTCCAGAGGAGTTGCATGAGTATAAAGACCTTGTTTCACGAACGGCATCTGTTGTTGTGTTCTTGTGTACCAGGTACCAAGATGAAGGTCAAGATTCTTCAGTGGCATGGGGTGGCTTCTTGGACATGGAACGCCCAGGATGAAACATGCGGCATATGCAGGATGGCATTTGACGGCTGCTGCCCTGATTGTAAGTTCCCTGGCGACGATTGTCCGCTCATCTGGGGTTCCTGCAACCACGCCTTCCATCTTCACTGCATACTCAAGTGGGTCAATTCTCAGACATCTACGCCACTTTGCCCAATGTGCCGTAGGGAGTGGCAATTCAAGGGCTAATGGCGTCTGAAATTATATCACCACCAGCTGGTTTCCATGTCTCCCCTTGTAGAGAACTAGATCTCAAAACTTTTCAAGATCTTGGTAGTTGTCTTCAAGTACTCTGTAATATTTCTCTATTACCATAAAATCGGAGTTGTCCTCCTTTCATACCCTCCTACCACTGTGTGCAACGTGTTCGTGGCTGAACGTAACCACCGAATCCGATGCTTTATCCTCAATCACTCTCCTAGCCTATTTTCTCTACTATCTTAAAAGCATCCTACCACCACGCTCCTCCTACCTGCATGCAGCGCTTCCGTAGCCATGTAACCATCGAATCCAATACTTTATCCTCAATCACTCCTAACATGTTTCTTATTATTGACCCGTTATTATTGAATCTAATATTTTATCCTCAATCACACTCCTAGCCTATTTCTTATTATATTGGTATGACCTGTTACAACGTATTGGTGTGTTACTAGTTCTATAGCAAATCATGGTTTCAAACTCTTAAGTGAAAATTGTAAACCATAGGCCCACAGCCTTTAATTTGTGTTGTTTCTATTGAATTGATATATTTGAAAGGGCTTAACAGCGTGAGTTTATCACAAATTTTGCTCTCGTGGTTTAATTACCTTCAGAATGACTATTGACGTAATCGTGCAAAACCTATCAGGTTGTACTATATATTCCCTCCATTTCATATTATAAGTCGTTTAATTTTTTTCTTAGTTAAAATTCTTTAGGTATGATCAAATTTATAGAAAAAATTAGCAACAGCTATAACACCAGATTAGTTTCATTAAATTTTATAGAATATATTTTGATACTACCTCAGTCCTAGAATATACTTGTCGCTTTGAGTTTTTTTTAACTTTTGATCTTTCTTCTTATTTAAAAAATTATGAAATTATTATTTATTTTGTTTGTGATTTGATTTATTATCAAAAGTACTTTAAGTATGACTTCTCCATTTTTATATTTGTATTAATTTTTCAAATAAGACGAACGGTTAAATGTTACGTGAAAAAAGTCAAAGCGACTGCTAATATAGGACAGAGGTAGTAATATGTTTGTTTTGTATTGAAACTTATAGATGTTGAACTTTGTTTGTGGAGTGATATATTTCATATTAATCTATCTTTTCAATTTTTTTTAATTTTTTTAAACTATTTAGATAACATTGCACGCAACGAGAGGATATCTTTTATAGGGAAGAAAACACTTTCGCCTTTTATTAGTCTGGACAGCGAAAATGTTTCTTGCATTGCGCTGAGGCCCGATACATCGTGATCAATCAGAGTCCGATCCCTGTCTCCCTCCCTCCTCAGTCGCGCGCGCGCGCGCGCGCCTGCAGATTTCTGGCCAGGATCCCCTCGAACGTGATCCCCGGCCCGAACGCCAGTATGAGCCCCCACTCGCAATCCTCCTCTTCCGCCGCCTCCTCCCTCCTCTGCCGGGTCTCCTCCACCATGTTCTCCAGCACGTACACGATGGTGTTGCTGCTCGCGTTCCCGAAGTCCCGGAGCGCGCTCCGGCTGGCGCGGAGCTTCCCGCCGTCCAGCCCCAGCCTGCCCTCCATCTTGGTCAGGATCGCCGGCCCGCCGGGGTGCACCGCCCAGAACATGTCGCCGTAGGTGAGCTTGTCCGCCGCCTGAGGGTGCTCCTGCATCAGCTTCTGGCAGAAGGCCTCCACGTTGGCCTCGATGATGTGGGGGAGTTCGCGGCCGAGCTGGAACTTGATGCCCTCCTCCGTCAGCCGCCCGTCGATGGTCTTGTCGGTGTCGGGGAGGAACCGCTGCAGCGCCGAGTGGAGCTCGAACAGCGGGCGCTCCACCGGTGTCGGGTCGGCGCCGACCACGGCCGCGCCGGCGCCGTCGCCGAAGAGGGCGACGCCGACGAGGTCGTAGGGGCGGTCGGGGCTGGGCGGGCGGAACCCGACGATGGTGGTCTCGGAGGTGGCGAGGAGGACGCGCGCACCCGGGCAGCTCTCGGCGAGGCCCTTGGCGACGCGGAGGCCCGCGACGCCGCCCGAGCAGCCGGTGAACGCCAGCATGACGCGGCGGACGTCCGGGCTGAGGCCCAGCGCGCGCGCCAGGTGGAGGTCTCCGCCGGGGAACCGCGCCTCGCTGGAGGAGACGTAGACAAGGTGGGTGATCTCCGAGAGCGCGCCGCCCCAGGAGCGGACGCAGGCGAGCGACGCCTCCGTCGCCATCTGCGTCACCGCCTTGTTGGAGATGTCCAGCCGCTGCTTCATCGTCGGCTGGCCCTCCTGCGCCAGCTCCGGGTAGCTCTTGAGGATCTCCTCCGACATCACCACGTACCTCGTCTTCACCGTCGTCGTCTTGCCTTTCGTCAGCAACGACATGCAAATTAATTGCAAATACGCATGCAGGTGAGCTCACACGCAAGTTCGATAATAGTGGAGTATATATATTTGTAACTGCAAATGATCAGATTTGGATCAGGTACGGTACAGAGTCTGGTGAGCTTCTCCTTGAGCTCCGGGTCGTCGCAGTTGGTGTTCCTCATGAAGCCGTCGACGACGTAGTCCTGCATGACCAGCTGCTGCGGGAAGGCGTGGCCGAGGGCGAGGATCGTGGCCTTGCCCGGGTTGGGGGCCATGGACGACGCCTGCTTGCTCGCAATACCGCCGGCATTGGTGCTCACCATCGTTGTTTGTGAGGAAGATTGATTTGTTTGCAAAGGAAAACACAATTAATGCAGTGGTAGTAACAGGACCAGGAGGTTTTGAGGCTATATAAATACACTGTTTCATAGCTTTCTCTCTCCTTTACGATGACTGAATTAGCTGGTGCAGTTGAGAGGCAACGAATGCATGGAAAGAATGGTTGGTGGAGAGCAGGTAAATTGTATTTTTTTATAATAAGGGTGTGTTTAGTTCTTTGGGTGTAAAGTTTTTGAAATATACGGACACACATTTGAAATATTAAACGTAGACTAATAACAAAACAAATTATAGATTCTGCCTGTAAACTGCAAGACGAATTTATTAAGCCTAATTAATCCACCATTAGCAAATGTTTATTGTAGCATCACATTGTCAAATCATGGCGTAATTAGGCTCAAAAGATTTGTCTCGCAGTTTATATGCAAACTGTGTAATTGTTTTTTTTTCCCACATTTAATGCCCCGTGTATGTGTCAAACATTTGATGTGATGTTTTTGGCTAAAATTTTTTGAGATCTAAACAAGCCCTAAAAGAAATTGAAGTAAATATCATACTACTGTAATTATTTTGTCAAAGTTATCGCTTTGCTATAATTTAAATTAGGTGCTTCAGTAACTTCACCCGTTTCACATTGTAACACGTTTTGGTTTTTGTAGTAAGTTAAACTTCTTCAAATAGAAAAGAACACTACACTGGCCAAGGTCACCTGTGACGGGCCCAAACCCTCACCTCTGATGGCTTTGGGCTTGGTCAGAGATCAGTGGCCACTGGTGAGTCCAGTCACCTTTGACGGGTGGCCGGCCGTCACAGGTGACACCCACCTCTGATGGGCAAGTTACTAGAAGGCCGTCAGAGGTGTTGGTCTCCGCTAGCCTAGGGCGAGTTAGGACCCGTCACAGGTGACTCATCACTGACGGCCCTTTAAATAAAGGCCGTCAGAGGTTGTGGTCTCCGTAGTTAGAAGCTGTCACAGGTGATCTACCTGTGACGGCCCCAAAAGTAAAGGCCCGTCACAGGTAGGTCACCTCTGACGGGCCTTACTTGCTAGTCCGTCACAGGTTAGGTTACCTTTGACGGATTTTTGTTCCGACCCGTCACTCATGAGTTAATTCCAGAAAAAAAATAAATGCTAAATATTGGCTAGCCTCAGGATTTGCTAGCCATGCCCTCTGAAACACAGATACATCATAGATATATTCTAGTCACAGATCCATCACAGATACATCACCCCCCCCCCCAATATAATATCACAGATCCATCTCAAACATTACAGATCCCCAAGAACACATATATGCAGTTCAAATGCCACAATTTTGCACAGCAAATTCACACCCCTTGAAAGCCACAATTTCGGTCGTTGCTCATAGAACCGCATATATACTTACCAGATGGATTAAAGCCATAATGTCATCGACCTCCACAACCTGTCAAGAAGGAAAAAAAAGGAGAAAATAGATGAATAGTACAACATAAATCGTAGTTGATCAAATGTGATGACAATTTAGTAAACTACCATAAATATTGCACATATGAAAGTAAATTACATTGCACTCCATAAAAACATAATTTTTTACATCGCAAGAAATTATAAAAACATCTTTTTTACATCACAATAAATTATCTAGCCAAGTTCATGAGTCTATTTGACATGAAAACGTCCTTTCTTTTTCATTATTTCTGCAAGAATGAAGGCGCACACTTCGCCTCTGATAGCGGGGGGGTTGATGGGTGAGATCTTGAAGCCAGCTCTACCTTTCTGTTTAATAAATAAGAGGTTAATTAGCACGTTTTGAATAGCAATGTAGGTATTGAAATTAGCTTTTTCGCCATTAGCAACAACCTCAGGGTCGAAATCTTTCACCTCTCTTAGAAGTGTTGACATGTTGTGGCACACGTGGAAACCACATTGGTCTCCGATCTGTTGTGCGCATGCAAACTTGGTGTCATGATAAAGTTCGTCCTTGCCATCCTTGTGCCTACCACCCTTTTCCACATATGGGCCCCAAGCCATATTTAAGGCCTTGGTGATTTCACTGAAATCATAATCTTTGGATTTATTGGAGTTAAGGTAGGTAACCCTACTCCACTTAGGTACGATGACTAGGAGAATCCAATGTCGCCTGCGCAGTGGTTATGTAACGTTAGTACTAAGAACCTTAACTTCAAAAATAGTATACACGAAGGGTATTGGCCTCTTACTCTTGGTTGTGTGCGCACATGATGTACTCCTTGTCTTGATGGGCCCATAAACACCGGTTGACATAGTCAACCACCTCAGTGAAGCTCTGTTGTAAATTAACCTCGTTCACCATGGATGGATCAAGGAACCCAACCTGATTACCAAGACGACGACTCTCGATCCAACACAACCTTAAAACATTTACGTATTAGAACTAATTTAATTAGGAGATATAGTCCAATCATATCACAAGTATAGAAGGTATGCACTTACAAGGTGTAGCATTTTAGAAGACCAGTGTCCAACTTCCGGATCCTGAAAAGGTCAAAGAGGTCATAAAAGCCTATAGTTATATAGGCAGGCGATGATAGGAACGGCTGGTGGTCGTGATGTCCAACTATGGATGACTCCCTCATTTTCCGCTTGGCATTGCTTAGCTCCATGTATTGCTTATGTAGCTCTCGGCAAGCAATACCCATCACGGCTAACACATTGTCCTCCACCAATGGCATGCCTAGCTCAAATTGGGCTGGCGCCCTCACGACCTTCCCCGCTTTGCTCATCGGCATCGACGTCGCAGCCTTGCCCCTTTTTGGCTCCGGCGCCAACTCCCCGACCTTCCCCTTGCCGCGTTCACGCTTCTTGCCTTTGACAAGTGGTGGGGAGCTATCGGCCTTTCTTGTGGTCTTTATTGGAGCCAAGCTTTGAGCTATATCTGCCAAGTCCATATCAGCAACACCAGGAGAATGAGGTACTGACAATGCCGGTCCACGGGGAGCCTCAATTGATAGCTTAGACTTGGGAGGTGTAAGCTCCGTCGGTCGACTTGGACGAGGAGTCATCTTCACAACTATGTCTTCTTTGGGCCATTGTATGAACGTCTTGCGCGCATCGCCCAAAGTCATGATTTCATCATTGGGGGGCACGGGCAGCGGATAGCCTGACCAGGTGTCCTTTACTGTATCGATGGACACCTTAGCATACCCAGCTAGCAGGTCTGCGCCGTGGACCTTGTCTGTAACCGAGGGCTTGAAAGCCATGCCCTCAGCGACTTCAGGAGCGAAAGTTGGGTGGACTCTCGCTAGTAGGACACACTGTGCTGCGCCCTGCATAAGGTGAAAGTTTGAATTTAATATTGAAACGTGTAAAGGTTTTTTATTAGATATGGATCGGATAACAACAATTACCTCAATGTGGTCCACTGTAGCTAGTGGTGCGATCGGGAGACCAGGGGCCGGCACCTCTGTGGATGCACAACTACTGCTATGCTGTGACGGACTCGCGTCGTGTTGTGCACGAGGAGTTGGATGCACAGCAGGTGTTGTGACTCGGGGTATATTCATGTCGGCGAGGACCTTATTAACCCTTTCTTCCACCCTTGCATTCATGCTAGCTTCTAGTTCTTGAATGACCTCAACCTTAAGTTCGGCCTTCAAACGAGTGTTCCTCTCTTCCTTGGAGACTTTCCGTTTCCTATATTGGGAGCTGTACTGAGGGAGTCCATGCTTCCAGGGCACATCGCTATCAATTCCCCGAGTTCGGCCAGGATGTTCTTTGGTTCCGAGCGCCTTTGTGAGGATGTCATCTTCGCGCCTCTTCGGCGCGGACTCAACCTCGCTTTGTGAAGCTTGTTCAGCAACCAAGCCCAACTAGAAAAGAAAATAGTCGTTTATATGAACTTGTACTTTATACGAACAGAAATTAGTTAGGTTAAGTAGTGAACTCACCAGTTTCTGATAGACGACGGCATCACTTTTGTTCTCAAATGTGACAGAGCCGTCCAGGTTGACCTTACCCCTTGCCCACGCCCAGTTGCGAGCTTTTTGTTCAGGGATGTATGAAAACGGGGCAGGGACATTCGCTGCTGCAGCGGTTGCATCTTCATGGGCCCATATTGCCTCCTTGCCGATGTACCCTGCGGTGCCCAGCCGATGCGGGTGCTCATTCCGCTGTTGCAGTAGGCGATGTGCCTCGCTTGATTCCCTAAACTCTTGGGTGTTCTTGAGAGAGCAGAATTCCTCCCACACCGCTTCGATTATTTGAGGGTATTCATTGAACGGCGTATGATTGCCGGGCGGGTTGACAAACTCGGTGAAGAGCTTAGACTTCCAATTCTTCCAAGCTTTGCCCATCTTTTGGAATGCCTTCCGCTTGAGCCTATCCTTTGCTTCAGCCGGAAATGTGAACCATTTCTCCATTGCCGTCCAAGCTCGCTCTTTCTCGGCTTCTGTGACCTTCCCGATATCTTTATGGAGGATCCCGAAGTTCTCACGTGCCGCTAGCCCGCAGCAGCTAGACCATCTTCCAATGACAGTCCTGGGCGCCGTGGGCCTACCACTAGCGTCAACCTCTCTTATAACTTGCACTGTGGTCGGCCATATATTTTGTGACCGGGGATTTCTACTAGACCTACTTGCACTTGTCCCGCCCGACATCGACGTATGTTGTTCCCGCGGCAATTCTGCAGCACAAACAGAAGGCAATATTTGCTAAGGGGTGCTAGCTAAAATTTATGTGGTCATGTGGTGAAAATTTATCCTATAAATTACCATGAATTTTGGGTTGTTCGACCGCCGTTGTCGAAGGATGACCTTCGGCAACTGTCTCCGTGGCTGGGTTTGCTTCTCCCTGGATCCTCGCAGGTGTTGGGGAGGGCGGGTTTGCGCCGAGCGTTGCCATGGTCTAATTTTCGTGAAAAAGCTTATAAATTTCCTACCATTATACTAAATAGCATTAGATCCAATGTAATACGGGGTATACTATGAAAGATATGGCCTCAGTTTTGCTCAGAAATATGCATCAATTACAATCATTTGCATGAAGGGATAAAAAGAGGAAATCATAACATCAAAAGAGCAAGTGCAGAAAATCTGTTCTTATGCATAAGAACAAGTGTAGAGGTATATAACCACTGAATCAATCATGCAAATTTAAAAAACACCAGCAGCAAGGGTACAGATAGAATGTTATTGACATAAAACAGCAGCAGGAGGAGTATATATGCCACAGGGGTAGCAACAGCAGGGGGAAATTCACATAAACAGCAGGGTGAACAAGTAGCCACAGTAAGACTAATAGCAGGG